GCACATTTATCTTTCATTTGCACAAATTTCAACCAATCAGTTTTTACTATTCTTATTTCTCACCTACTTTGCACTTAGCGAAGTCCACCGGGACTAAGGTAGTAGCAGTTTTATCATGTACAAATTGCGTTAAATTAGCGAGGCGAAGAAAAACGGGTTCATTAGCAAAAACCTGGAAATGAGCAAAAATCGGGAAAATCTGGCAAGGAGTCGAGACCTTAAATTAAGAAAAAACTAATTTCACATGTTTTTTCAAATGTTTTATTATACGTCGTTTTTTTTTTGCTTTAAGCATTTTTACTATAAGATTTTTTTTGGCACATATAGACATAATTCACGGAAGTGGTATTTTCTCCATTCTTTTTTATCAGCACATATCCCTTTCAAGGTTTCTTTTTGGTAGAAACATAGGAGCAAAGCTCCAGTCTGCCATTAATGATCAAACGAGACTGGGAAATCCCAAATACATCATAAAAATGTGTAACGATAATCTAGAATCAGCATTAGAAATAGAATGAACACCAATAAGTAATCTATGGCCTAGGCTAGCTAAAAAGTCTGCTACCCGATTACCCTCTCGGTAGATAAGTTCAACTCTGATCGTCCAATCTCGATTAATAAGCTCGTGAAATTGTGCAACCTCAGAAGAATGCAAGTGTGCATGCTCACCTTCTGCCATCAAAAGTTGAATAGTTGTTTGTAGTCTAGCTGCACTCGTACATGTCGGTATCCAAATTCCCAAGCAAAATATAACCCTTGCACAACAGCTCTCAATTCGGCTCTTCTTATCGAGCAAATCCCAAGTTCACCGAGTACGCTGCTAAGCATCGACCATCAGAATCATGAAACAACCCTCCTGCAGCTACTCGAGTACTCGTCTGGTCTTAGGAATAACTGATTCGTCAGAATTTAGAGCAACCCATGTGGGCGGCGACGGCAGCCAAGAGACATCCACCATCATTTTGGTGAATTGGTAGACCGGTATGTGTGGATCGGTCATGTATTAAAGCCTCCTCAATGGACTCAGCCCAATGTTTAATACGCTAGGCAAGGGACTCGGGGGTGGTGCGGGTATCCGAAAATATAGCTTCATTTCTAGCCTTCCATAGAGACCAGCAGCCACCCCGAAAAGAAGACTATTGCTCGTTGCCTTCAGGTGGTGTGTGATCCAAGGAAGAAGTGGAGCCTCCCAGTTCGTCCGATCAGAAGAAAGATAGGCAAGATGCTCCCAGGTGGTAATTGCAAAAGGACACTTCTGTGGCACATGCATAATTGTTTCATGGTGTTGATTACAGCGTGGACAAATGCCCTCTGCCGCCATATGTCTTCGTCTTCTTTCCTCATTGGTAAGTAGCCGGTTATGCGCCACGAGCCCAAGGAAATGCCTGATACGATTGGGGCCACGCCAACGCCAAACCACTCTCAAGTCCGGCCCCTCTTATTTGTTAATCTGCCCACTTAGTAGAGCATATGCTGACCGAATTCTGAAGCGGCTATCCTTTTCAAAACCCCAAACAAGAGCATCATCTCCACTGCCAGGGTGAGGTGGGGACATACCTGCAATGTGCAATACTAGATTTTCTGGGATCAAGGAGCGAAGAAGGGGGTAATCCCACTCACCAGAGGTTGTGCAAAATTGTGCCACAAGGGCGGAGAAATCTAGTTCTAGAGCTGAAGGAAGAATATGGTCAATAAGTTTCTCACCTGAGTCTAGCCATCGACTAGACCAGAAAGCCGTGTTGCGTCCATCCCAGATTCCATACCTCATTCCAAGTTCCACTGTAGGTAGGGCTGCCACGATCCCATGCCAAATCACCGATTTGGAAAGCGAATTTTACGGTTGAAATCATGTCTTTGTCTCCTGATTATACTTAGTTTGAAGCACCCACACCCACAATTTATCTGGTTCTATAAGGAACTGCAAACCCAATTTTACCATTTACGCCAGATTAAGCTGTCTGGCTGAACGGAACCCCAAACCGCCCTGTTGTTTTGGTCGACAAATGGCATCCCAAGAGAGGAAATGAATTTTCCTCTCTTCAGCGGTGGTACCCCAAACAAAATTTCTAATTCTTTTATCAATTTCACTGCAAATATGACTGGGTAGAACCGAAGTTTGCATAACATAAGCAGAAATTGCAGATAACGCAGATTGGGCAAGAGTAACCCCTTTCAGCAAGAGCGAGTGTCGAAGTTTTCCAACCAGCGGGCTTCTGGTCCATACGATCCAATATGGTCTGGTACGTACCATTAGTCACCCTTCCATGGAGCACAGGAACCCCCAAATATCTATCCAGGTTTTGCGTAGTCGGCATGCCAAGAGAAGAAGAAATACGAGTCACATCAAGCTTGGGGACAATTTTGGAGAAAAAAACACATACTTTTCCTTGTTAAATCTTTACACTAAATTTACGTTTGTAAAAGAAAAAAATTAGTGTTTACCTCACACCTCTTAAAATCTAGAATATTTGAACTATGTTTTCCTATTTTTTATGGAGTAACTTTTACAAACTATTGTATCCTTTTTTGTATCACTTTTTCATCTTCTTAACATACATTTTTACTGCCTTTTCATCTATCCCACGCCCTATATACATTATCTTTATTACTATCTTATTCTTAAACGCCACAAAAGATCCAGGGGTAGCACCATACGGATACGCGGAAACGCGGAAATGAGTACGGAGATATGACAAAAAAAAGGTAGGATACGGGTACATTTTATAAATATTTAAAGTTATGAGGGTGTATTTATAAATACTAAAAATTATGGGGTGCATTTTGGGGTGCATTTATAAATATTAAAAATTACAAGAATTTTGTTTTGAAAATGTGTGTGTATGTGTGTGTGTGTGTCTATATATATATATATATATATATATATATATATATATATATATATATATATATATATATATATATATATATATATATATATATATATATATATATATATATATATATATATCATCATCATCTGACCTCTGCCCCATTCAAGGCATTGAAGCAATTCACATTATCAAAACAGTTAAAAATAAATTTATCTCATACATACTTGTGCACATCAAAATATACATGTAGTCAATAATTTATTAATTTAAAATGAAAAATAAGTCAAACAAACACAATTTTGATCTTAAAAGTGCAAGTACGCAAAGTTCTTGGATAGCGGAAATGAAAATAATACTCTAATAAATAAAAAAAACTAAAAGTTCTAATACATACATACATAGTTACATACTTCTTTCGTTCTTTTTTAGTTGCAACAGTCAACGTTTCACACTTGCCAACACACGTCTTTGACCGTAATTATATCTTAATCTCTATTAGTAAAAAAAATAAAAAATAAGTTTTTGAAAATTTGTAATGAGATAAATTGAACAATATTTTTTTAAAAAAATAATTTTCATAAATAATAACGTAAAATGTAGTCAAAGTAAAACATGTGAATAATGTAAAATTCAATATGTTGCGATTAAAAATGTAGGATAGTATATATTTTTGCTGGAGCTAACAATTTTCAGAGATAACATCGTTTAAAAAAAGACAACCTCCAATTCAAGTACATATATGGAAAGGTTGGTGAACTCAAGTACTCATTTATCCCCAATGCTCCCAAAGTCATCTCCACCAATATCTCATATTTTACTTGTTGTCCGTATACTTAGTGAGTTAGTTGTGTGCGTGATAAAAGCAAGGTAAAATGTATGTTTGTATTTTCCTTTTTTTAAATTTTTATTATGTAAATTTTGGATGTTTTGTTTTAAAGTTTATATGTGTATCCGTCAGAATACAGATATCTGAAACTTTAAAATAATTACCAAAAGACTTGGAAACTTTTAATAAATTACAAATACGGTTCGGAAACATACGGTACGAGTATCATAGAGTACTTGATACAAGAACGTTTCTGATAAATCGATACGACACTCTGGTGAAGTATTCGTACTTCATAGCTAGCCCAATATTGGTCTAATCTCAATGGGAAAAATAATTAAAATACCCCAAACTTTGAAGAGATGTGAGGCTAACATCCCAAACTTTCATATGTAATTTAAATACCCTAAACGTTATACAAAAAATTATTTTAGCACCATTGTCATGTTTTATTTCTTTCAAAAAAAATTGTTTGGTGTTAATTTCATAATTTAAAATACTTTAGCATTTATGGAGATACCATTAACATTCTAAACTTCCATTGTAAAATAAATAATACTACACCCACTCTACAGAATTGCCACCTTTTTAATTTGTTGGTTTGAATTATGCAAAACACACTACAAATTTACATCTTTGAAAGAAATAATACAATATCATGGTGCGAAAATAACTTTTTATATAAGATTTGAAGTATTTAAATTACATATAAAAATTTAGGATGTTTATCTCACACCCAAAGTTTGGTGTATTTTAATTATTTTTCCCAATCTCAATTGATAAAAAATTCTTTTGTGCATATTTCAAGCGTTTAAAATGGGGATAAGGGTCACTTTGGTCCTCGAAGTTGCAAAAAAGGGGTCAAATAAGTCCTTATATAGAAGATTCTGTCCGGACGTGCCATTTGAGGTGGCTCCCGGTGGAATTGTTTGATGAAATTTTTTGAGCATCTTATTCATTAAGTCTAGTTTACTCATACCAAATTTCAGATAAAAATTCAATGGGGAAGACATTCAAATGAATTCTTGAAGATAACTGTGTCGTTAAAAGCGCTGTTATCTTCAAGAATTCATTTGCATGTCTTCCTGATTGAATTTTTAACTGAAATTTGGTATGAGTAAACTAGACTTAATGAATGAGATGCTCAAAAAAATTTGTCACAAAATTCCACCGGGAGCCACCTCAAATGGCACGTCCGGACAGATTCTTCTATATAAGGACTTATTTGACGCCTTTTTTGCAACTTCGAGGACCAAACTGACCCTTTACTCGTTTAAAATGTGATTGAAGTTTGGTCTGGTCTTAAACAAAAAACAACCGCCAATGAACATGGATGGGGTGGAGACTGACATGTATCTGCCACGACGCCCGTTCGGTCTGCTACCGCCACTACAATTGCTTCCAGAAACGAAAGAAGGCAACAGAGCGTCGTTCTGTACTGTTCTTTCTTTCTTCACTCGGTTTGTGTGCCCATTCATATCCTTCCCACCAAGCTTTTGTCTTCCCCTTGCGATGCCTCCGTACTGTACCCCTCATTATCGCTAGCTAGTTGTAAGTATCTTCTTCCATCTTCTTCATGGCTGTTTTCTTCTTTATAGATCTTTTAGTGGATAAAGAAGTCGTGGGTAGTTTTTTTGGGGTAAAAATAGCATCTTGTGTCAAACCAACCCATTCTTGGAGTATATTTTTTTGGGTCGTTAACTGTTATACTCCCCAGGTCGCTATTTTTGGCGTTTTTACTGTTTTATGTGGTAAATGTAATTGCTTTTTATCTTTAGTTTTCTGCATCGTTTTTTTTTCCATACATGGAATTCATTCTTGGAGCATATATTTTTGGGTTGTTAATTGTTATGACTTATACTCTCAGGTCGCTATTTTTGGCCTTTTTACTATTTTATGTGGTAAATGTAATTTCTATTATCTCTAGTTTTCTGCAACGTTTTTTTCCCATAAATGGAATTCATTCTTGGAGCATATTTTTTTGGGTTGTTAATTGTTACTCCGTATAACTTATACTCCCAGGTCGCTATTTTTGGCCTTTTTGCTATTTTATGTGGTAAATGCAATTCCTTTGTATTTCTGGTTTTCTGCATCGTTTTTTCCCCCAGAAATGGAATTCAGTATTGCGGTTCAGTTAAATTGTAAAACTAATTTAAATACTACCAGGTAATTAACACTAGTTCTGGCAAAGATTATGGGACAAAGAAACAGGGGCGAAGCAAGTAATATATACTGTATATGACTCTGAATGTGGAACCCATTGATATAGAGACAATTGTCCAAAATAAGACAAAGAATGACCACTTACTATTTTTATTCCTAAGATGTTACGTAGTATTTGTTTTGTTGTTCATGTATAAAGGAGATCATTAAATGAAGAAGTTCTTAAAAAGGTGTTCTGGTAGTCATATTTAAGGAAAAAGCTCATGTTTTAGTTATACCTAGGTGATAGGTGAATTACTCATTAATATACTGTTAAACTTTCTGTTTTAACCTATAATAGCTTCTTATATATTCTTAGGGAAAATGGAGGAGATAATGGGCAGTTTCAAACACCGGAAGGTGTCTGAGATGGTCAAGAGTGATGATGGTGAAGATATGATCAGCCAGTTACCTGATAGCATTCTTTATCACATTCTTTCATTTCTTCCCACCACAGATGCAGTAGCAACGTGCATATTGTCTACCCGGTGGAAAAACATGTGGACCATTGTTCCTAATCTTGACTTCGATGACTCCTCGTTGTACTCTACCTGTGTTTTCGGTTATCCACTAAAAGTCACTTGTTTTATGCATTTCGTTCAAACAGTGCTTCAGCATAGGAACAGACCTACTATTCAAAAATTTCGGCTTTCTTGCCGTGTTTGTTTTAGTGGCTCTCATGTTTGTGCATGGCTATCATCAGCTATCAAAGATAATGTTCAAGAGCTTGACCTTTGCCTCTTTGTTGAGGAACCTTTTTCCTTGCCCCGATGTGTTTTTGATAGTACATCACTTGCAGTTCTAAAACTAGAAATGAATTGCGTCCTTGAACTGCCTGATTCTATCTCTTTTCCATGCCTTAAAACCCTGCACCTATGTCTTGTCACATTCCATGATGATACCTCAACCCAAGGACTGTTCTCTGGTTGCCCCGTGCTTCAAGAATTGGCTATATTAGATTGCGAGTGGATGAATTTGAAGTGTGTTTGTTTATCCATTCCTTCTTTGAAGAGTTTGACAATAGACGACTTGCCCTTTTTTGGATCTCTTGATGATTTAAATGGTTGTGAAATCCAGATTGATGCAGCCAATCTCCATTTCTTCAAGTACAATGGCTATCTTACAAATGAAATTTATGTCTATAATCTGTCTTCTCGAATTGATTCTTCTATTCATATTGCTCTGTGTGAGAAGAGGAAACAATTGGCTATCCATGCGGCTAAGCTATTTACAGGACTGAACAATTCCAGCTCTTTGAGAATATCTGTTGGTTCTGTCATGGTATTTTACTACAACTTTTGAATTATGTATACAAGTTTGTGAATGAATGCCATTTTGAACATACAATTTCTTTGCATTAGCCCCTTTTGATTCATCAAATACCTTCAAACAGCAAATCTAAATGAAGTAAAAATCTCATCTTTTGTATTTTATGTGCATAAAACAAGAGATTTAACACATTTTTGTTTACTTAAAGGGACTAATCTGCATAGTTTGTATATCAAAAGTTGTTTGGCGCATTAAACCTAGCAGACAATTAAACTGACATTTTCAATTTTTTCTTTGACTCTTTTCCCCGGGGAAGTCTTTATTCGTTGCAGATGATGTTCTTGACCATCTTCCAGTTTTTCACAACTTAACACATTTACATTTGAGCAAGAGGCTTGAAAATCAAACAATTGGAGCACTGGTGAAGTTGATTCAAAGCTTCCCGAATTTAGAATCTCTTAATTTTCCTGAGGTATCATTCTATTACCCTTCTGGCCTCAGTAAAGGTTGTGCTTTAATTCTACGAGTGTGTTACAGGGACTTGAGTTTTGCATGGCAGCTGAAGAAAATGACTTGATCTTGAAGTCAATACCAACATGTTTCTTATCAACTCTCAAGACAGTTAATTATTGCCATTTTCATGCAAAAGATATGGAAATTTGTTTCATCAAACTTTTGCTGAGTTTTGCTATTGTTTTGGAGCAAATGAATATATTCTGTTCTAACAGCTCTTTGGAGGATCCTAAGAAAATTAGTGAGGTTAGGACTCATTTGCATTCCCGTCCTAAAGGATCAGATCATTGTGCAATCATGTTTATTGAAGCATGAAAGCCCCCATACTTGTAAGTACTCTGCTCTCTTAAGGCATTTTTATACTATGATCTTCATTATCCAATTCCTTATCATTAAGAAATGGATTTTAGTGGACGATAGTGGTAACTGGTAAGAGTAAATTAATGGAAAACTTATTGCAGTTGTAAAAATGAGGGACAACTGTTATAGGAATGAAGCTCAAGTAAAATGACTGACTACTTTTTCATATGGACAAATGCAACTAACAAGGTATAGAATTGGAAAACAATGAATGTCACTACCATTTTATTATGTCAATGGCAGTTATTTTATGTCACTGCTTAGTTTATTATGTCTCTACCAGTTATAGGCGGTGTCATTGTCACCTGCACCTGTGCCTCTGTCGCTGCAGTTAAACATGTCATTGTGGCGGCTTACAAAAATTTCCGGCAATTATTCCTGGTGAATTTTCAACGAAAAACTGAAAAAAGAAGAGAGAAAAATTTCCGGTAGACTTTGCCTGGAGACTTTTTTGCCGCTCGCCGGCGGTGGTTTCTGAAAGTGGTTACCAAAGGGGCAGTGGGGAGAGGGTGGGCAATTGAGAAGGGATTAGGAGAGGAAATATAAATCAGTTAAACAAAGGTTAGTCACATTTTTGGAAAAAATAAAGCTGGTCATATTTTTGTCTTTCAATAGTGTTGACTTAATATGTATGTCATCATTATTATAATGGTAATGTTATTATATATAGTAGTAATGATAATTTGCATTAACAACAATAACAACAACTACAATAATAGTAATTACTTCTAGAGATATTACTCAAAATGGGACTAAAAAAGTTTGAAAATTCTAAAATAGGACTTCCATGTTTTTATTCCCAAAATAGGACTAATTACTGCCATGTTTTGACAGTACCAGACTTCAAACATGGCAGTATTTTCCAAATTTGGCAGTAATTAGTCCTATTTTGGGAATAAAAACATGACAGTCCTATTTTGGAATTTTCGAACTTTTTTAGTCCCATTTCGGGAACTTTCCCTTACTTCTACTACTAGTAGTATTAATTATTAATTTGTTATTATGCTAGTCTGTATATGTTAATTGACCTTTTTGATTAGTTAGTTATATCGTTGTAGTTTGGAAATGGTTAAGTTATTAGATTCGTTTGCCTTAATTACTTATTTGTCTCCCTCCGTCCCTTTTTATTTAGCCAAACATTATTTTTCAAGTCTAAATTGTTCAACTTTGACCGATTATATATTTATACACGGTAATATCGATAATATGAAAATTATATGAAAATGTTCTTTGTTGAAAACACTATCATAAAAGTATAAATTTACTAACTTTTACATAAATATATTAGCTAAAATAATGGATCAAAGTTTATCCCCTTTGACTGGAAATGTCAAAGTTGGCTAAATAAAAAGGGACGGAGGTAATATTTAGTTACCTACTTTGAAGTTAAGAATTTGATAAATGCCTTAAACCTCTTTTGAGAAAGGGGATTTGTAGTTAAGTATAATAATATCAACTATCAAGAACACAGTTCGGCAAGAATTTTGGAGAGTTAGAGGGCCTGAATTAAATCCTAGGAGGAAGTTACTGAATCTTGGGATATTCTCTCTTGGCCAACCTGAACTCTAGATCTTGACAAAATCTGCAATGAATCTTGTACATTAGCTGATACAAATAATGGTGCTGCCATGGTTGAATGAGATTACACGCGACCTTAAAATGTTAAGCTTACTTCAAGCATAGTGCTCAGGACTTTGTGTACAAGATCTCATCCAGGGTCTCTGAGAAGACATTGAAAGTGAAGAATAATATTCCTTCCATCCCATAAAAAGGTTTTATTCGTTTATGTTTCTAAAAATTTCTCTGTCCAAAAGAGTCGCGTTAAATTGTATTAGGACAGTTTTTCAAGAAATGTCTCAAATTAGTATAACAAACAAGTTTAGTGTGAAAATTTTACATAAACTGGTTAAAACGTTTCTTGGAAATAAGTATCATTTATGACTTATAGTTATAGCAGTTGTACATTGACTAAATTAAAGGTTGTATATTGCTCAAACAAACTGATTAAAGAGCATTTGGAAAAAGAAGCTATGGTGATGATGGTATCAACTCAAGCCTCTCGCCCCGTAGCAGAGAGTTACGGACTTGCTGCTAGACCTTGTCTCCGAACATGATTTTTAATTTAAGCAATCCTTATAAAGATAATAATAGTCCTAATCATAAACAGAAACCCTGGATGTTGATACTAGATAAGGCTTTTAGGTTTTTATAGGGCAAAGCAGCCAAAGCTAGACTTTATAGCGATTTGATTCTTAGATTGTAGTAAATATACTCGATAGGTCCATCTCATTTCTCTACTAGCCTTTTTTTTGCTAAATGGACTAAGTACGACAAATGCTAGTCTTGGTGTGCACCTTTTTGTACACCATATAAACCTGGAAGCTTGCCTTGTATGCCAAAATAGTCCGGCCACACATTACAATAATAGGGTCATTTTTTGTGAGCACATTTTTGTACACCCTTCGTACACCTTATATATGTACACAGACAACTTTTGAAAATTTTGCATCTTTATCGACAGATCACAGGCAAAATAGGGGGTGTACACCAAAAGTTGCACAAACAGAAATGTCCATAGTAATAACATTTTATATACAGATGCAAAGTGTCTGATGACATATTTTACTTTATGACACTTTGTTTTGTTTGCTTCAGTTTGCAGCTGGTAGTATGTATAGTTATAATTATAGTGGCTACATCTGCTCAACGCCTGCCATTTTGATTGGAGATGTCAACACTTGGCCATGGCCTATGGAGATATCTACTGTTCTATTTCCTATGATGCACTTCAGCCATGGTATTGCTAATGATTGGGATTCTCATCTACCGTAGACGTCAGTGGCTGTATTTGTGCTGAAAAATAAGGCTACATTGGCTTGCAACTGTAATGTGCCTTATTTTTTCTCACAAATTAAGTCTGTCTCTGTAGAGAGAATCATTCCCTATTACTGATGCAATATGAAATCTAGTTTTTTTTTTGCTTCTTTTGCTCCTGTTTTAAAGGGAAGAAATGGGAGGTTTGCAAATGTTATGAAAAGTTAGCCTTGTATAGTTTTGCTGTTTCAAAGCTTGTAAGTTGAAACACCAAAGCACAACAATGCGGTGATGCTGCGTTTTGTGTTGTTTTTTTTCTGATGCCAAACTTATCCATGATCATGATTCATGCGTATATTCCACATTACCACCACCTGGTCCATCTTGAAAGTGGAAATTGCATAAAAGACTCAAAATCCATTTAGGCATGGACTTGGCCCGGTCTAGAACCGGTTTGTATTGTTTGGGCCCGGAGTGAGTCCATTTTTCCAGTTTGGGAATTGGGGCCAAGGACTGACCTTGTCCGGCCATGATGGGTCAAGGTCGTATTTTTTTTGTTTCCAGCCTTGGATCTGGACAAAAAGAATTACGGAACCGGGACTGGAACCTGCCTGAAACCGCAAATAACTGGGTCCGGACGGTCCACAAGTACAATTGTACATATACACAAGCCCTAGCGGACTAGCGGTTAGCCGGTTACGTACAATAATTTTATCTAAAAATGTTTGTGTTGTTTTATGAGTTTTCTGTAAAAAGCTTACATTTCTAAACCCCAAGTTTTCATATATAATGCTTCATATTTATATTCATTTCTGCAATAATATGTTTTATATTTAAACTAATATGATTTCCCAAAGAAGAAATCAGAGTTTTCACGTCCCATCCCACTATCTTTTTCTTTTTTTTTCCACTGGGGGTCCGGGGGTGTTTTATTGTCCAGGCGCCATATGGTCCATATGTGAAAGCTATACGATTCTAATTGGTAACATTGGAGAATTTAAATATGGGTCATTCTCGGTGTACACAAAATGTATACATTGCATATATACACAAACAATTAGAGAGATTTTGTCATCAAAACCTAAGTCCTAATCCTTTTTAATTTAATTGTCCATGTACACAAGTTTTTCTGTACTTTGTGTTACTAAGAATTTTTCTCAAAATATTTATATTCAAATAGTGGATGTTTTTTAATGTCTCTTAATACAACAAAATTTAAATATACAAGTATTCATTTCAAATTAGTATGAGATCAAACATTGTGAGCTAACGTAAGAGTTGTCATCAACCCAATGGTACAAAACATGAAAATAGCATTTACATGGTATATTATTTTACTATATACGTAGTACATTAAAAAAAAAAGCGTGAAGCACCCTGGACCTCCTCAGTTCATCTTGACCCGTGGCTCAGTGCACCTTGGACCGCCTAAGCAATTACCTGACACCTTCAACCGGTTGAGGTGAAATCAAAAGGTAGAGATAAGATGCGTTTAATAGGGCATGGTTGGGAGCTAATCATTCAAATCCACACACATCAAGCAATGACCCCCAAAGGAAAGCCTTCTCTGGGCATGCATTATTTAACAATGACTTCAGCCCACTCACTCGCAGCTTCCTGTGACACTCGACTCCCAGAGGCTCCACCAGGATTTGCTGGAGACAAGAACAAAAGCTTTCTTGTGAATAAATAGTCATTGGGGGGGGGGGGGGGGGGGGGTTGAAAAATTTAAGAAGTGTGGTAGGGGTTCTGTGATCCACTCTCACGTCTCCTGGTGTGGTATGTAATGACAGAGACGATGAGAAAGAGTGGTAGGGAATAGGTTCAGGAAAATCTACTACCACCCTTGCATTGAGCGAGTATAGCTGTATAGGTGACCTAAGCACAACTACCTCAAGGGTATTCTTGTAAAACAGATTTATTTCTCTGAACATTTTCCTAGTACCCTCTTCTCACCTGCTGGCTACCCTTATCACTATTCTATTAGTTTGTCAGATAAGTTTACAAAAACAATGTGATACCCCATCTGTTGCAATTCAAAGATTATTATAGAAGCACTTGATTGCCCTTATGTATAATCTGTATGATTCTCTTCATTAGTATTAATTCTTAGACTTTGCATGGCAAAACAAGCACACAACCTCGCTATTGATTGATACGTTTAATACAAGTTATAAGTGACAACAAAGATGATTTCATAGTGTTTCGTAGACCATAGCTTATATGCTCGTTTTAAATACAAAATGACATCAAAACGATATGTTTATATTTTATAAATTGAAAGCTCATGTAACTTAAAAGCTACTAAAAAAATGTACTACATATAAAACAAGCCCAGGTTATTTAAAAAATGTACTACATATAAAACAACATTTTTTCGTAGCTTTCTTTAGAAAAGCTAATAGCCAACTTAAATCTAACTTGTGACTTAGAAAACACAACCTTAGAAAATATGGAGTATCTATTATCTCGAGTTAAATATTTAAGAATTTGATAATCTCAATGAAAAATGTAGTGTTATTGTTTACAATACTTATTTGGGATAAACCGATATTTTTGCTCATCAGTTGCATGTAGGCTAAAAAACAGGACAATCAGTTAAATATCAACACTTAAATGCATGAAATAATGGATTTTAGTATATTATCACTATATATTAATGGATATTAATATATTGTCACAAAGTGGTAATTCAAATATTGATAGTTTTGATTAAAATTGAGGAAATATAAAAATGGAAATACAGCGAATACATTGGAAAAAGAATCGCGGAGATATCAAGATCCCTTAATCCATGATGCACATTTTCAAAATCCAGATGGAATTCAGATGTAATATTGATTAGTATCGAATTGGATACCAGGAAAGATGATTACTTTTACAAACTGGAAAAAAACGAGTATCCAGCATAATCTATAATACTATTAAACTGAATTTTAACTTTAAGTAATTTGAACTTTTATAACATATACGCGTATAGTATTTTAATATTAATATACTTTAAACTGAAATGTCATTTTACCAAAATTTAATATCAGATTTAACAATTAAAATTTAAGTAAAACAAACTTTTAAGATTTGATGATCCACTCTGAAGTAGAGGATAGAAAGCTACCTTCTGGAGCCACATAATATAAGTAGCAGCATATGTTGCCTGAGATCGGTAGTCCTCGAAGTTACAATCAATTATTGTTGCACAGGAATTGAATAGTTGTAATTCATTATCTATGAACTTGTCAATATCACAAGTACCCATCATAGAAGCAGCAAAATATTTTACCCAGGATGATGCGAGAAAGCGACGGTGAAGCCACAAAGCCTGGAAAGGTACAAATGTCAGTTATTACTATCATAGTATCTACCTGGTTTTAAGATGCATGTGACTATGTGAGGCTTTGATCGTAGTATCTCTGTATCCGGTGGGCTTTTATAATAATCTATTTGTGTCCATCTAGCTTCAAATGAAACTTTCATATCCAAGCTCAATTTTGAAGCTTAACAAAGTGAGCTCTAGATTAATATTCACGAATTTATCAAGCCAAGCTTTGTGGTGCTATTGTTTAAAAATGAGTCCAGCTGGACTCTGATACTCATTTATAAACTAGAGCCAAGGCAGCTTGAAAACTTAAATTGAGGGGGCATCTAGTCACTTCAGTCACATGTATAGTTCTCAATAGGTTCAAATTGAGCTCAAATATGTGGAGCTTGGCTTGCCACAAACACCAACACAGAGCATACAAGCGTTTGGACCAATAAATTTTTGGGCCTATGGAATACCTATAATGCGTAGAGATTAATCATGTACTGGGTATAGATTAAATTTTAAGGACCAATAAGAATTCCCAAGTTGAAAATGGCTATTAACGAACAGAGCACTTATGAACAAATTCAAGCACGACCACCTAAGGAAGTGAAGTTTATCTTATGATTATATATACACAGGACCAAAGCCTAATATATAACCTATTTATGTAGTGAGTATAGGTTAATTTTAAGGACCAGTAAAATTTCCTAATTTAAAATGGCTATTAACGAACAGAGCACTTTTGAACAAATTCAAGCACCACATTAGTGAAATTTATCTTATGATTATACATATATAACCCTATGCGGAATATGCAACATGTTTATATACTAGATTCTGCCCCAATACACAAGCAACGCGGGATACATAACAAGTAGCACCCATGGTACTCCTTTATTGATGACATGTAGCTAGCTAAACACTGAACAATATATCTTAGAACTTTAACGAAAGTAAAGGTAATGAGTGATGATTGATTGATCAAGTATACCTCTCTACCCACATATAGTTTTATCAACTTCTCAACCCAGTCAAGCTCCTCCTGAAAAGGGAATATGGGGGAGAGGTAGGTCAGGTTCAGAACATCTCAAAGAACTGAAAGACTGATAGAACACTGGTATACTACTGATCAGAACAATTGAAAATTAAGAAATTCTAGGCTATAACAGATCAACAGTAGATTTTATTGAACACGAACAGATTAACAGTAGGTATACAAGCTTTAGACAATTCGAGATGCCCAGTCTCCCAGTCCAGTCCTAACCAACATAACAGCCTCCTTTTTAGTTCTATCAGCTTCTATTTATAGTAAATGGTCCACGCAGGGAACCAACAGAACTAACCGACTAGTTAGTTAATACTAACTGTTTTATTACTCCTCCTTTGATAGACTTTCTTATATAACTGGACTGGTTGCCTTCCTGCTTGTCTAACAAAGGCTACACCAAATAATGTTTTTTAGCATTTACCATTTAACCAAGGAGCCCATTAAATATTACTCTTAGCTACTTAAGTACTTAAGTTGTAACTAGTGGTTCAAAGTGATAGAAGTCAAGAAGGCCGGTCTATCAACCTTGCCTATCAAGCTCTGATTTTTATTTTGCTAATCTTCCTTTTCACTTTTTTTTACTTTCTATTTACTGGAAAACAAAAGGCACTGGGATAAGGATGGAAAAAATGAAGAGACAATTAAATATGAAATGCTGACAAGATATGCTACAATCTAAAAAAAATCAAAGTTGACACCAAAGATCATTTGTTTGTAGAAGGTCAGATGTTATTCAATAAAACTTCAATTTTCCATACTGCACGGTACCTTCCATGTCACATGAAGTTCTTCACTGGAGCATACAGTTTGATCTTTGTTAAGAAAAGCTTCTAATATCCTGAGCATTAAGCACTGCTCATTCAGCAAAAACAAAAAGAAGTCCATTACAAGTTCATACAGATATTTTTAAAGCACGGTAACATGTTCAAGAACACTCAAATAAATAAATGAAAGTGACCAACAAAGGCTATATTCTTTTTCAGCTTTGGGGAACTCATATTGCTTATCAAGTTGATTGCGCTTAATTTTCAAACTGAACTGTAGCTCAACCTAATGGGAGTCTAATGGCAGTGTGTACGTGGGCATAATAATTAAGAGCCCGTTCGTAAAGTGTAAATTTGGTTGAATGACTGGTGACCTCATTTGAGGAAGCTGCTGCTAATTTTGCTGAACTGACTGAACCTACTCAACTATCAATAAAACACTTAAAAATATTTTCTTAATAAAATAAAGAAAATGTAGTACTCCGTAATAGATTATAAATAAGGCTTCCTTTAGCAAAGAGGACATGGAGACTGAAGAGATTAATAGAACTTGAGACTCTTCTGAGTTGGCCAACCTGGGGCGGATGAGTTCATCTTGTTGGGGAATACCTTCACGGACTTCATGTCATTTCTTATTACTCCCTCCGGCCCACTATTTTTTCCCATATCATATTTGGTAATATTTGTGTGGTACCAATTCATTCTTACTTTATACATGCTTTATAAATTCAATACTAACTGCATAATATCCCTTTTATTAATAATTGGGTCACTTCCTCGTGTTAGAATCATAGCGGGACGGAGGTAATAGTAAAATTTTGAAAAGTATGTTACAAACTTCTAATAATGTTAGTTTAATATTTTCATAAGATTTATTTATAAAGCAAATAACAATAGTCCACAATAACTAGCAATTCATAAATTACTCATCATTTGGTTCAAGGTCTTTATTGTCTTCATTTTCCACGATTTCACATGCACATATTGAGTGGGGCCTTGTAGTTTTTTAAAAACTTTTAAAACATTGAACAAGTATTTTATCTAATTGAAGACCCTAAGTTATTTTTAATCTCATATTACCTAATCCTTATTTTCAATCTTTCATTTTAACTATGACCGAGTTAATCGTCTAGTAATCAGCCGCATCAAGTCACTAAATTGCCAAGTAACTCGGTACTTCTTATAAAGTTGCGTAAGAAGCACAACGCGAGTAGCCGAGTACACTGATTAAATAACATGAGTCTGATTAGCAAAAAAATAACACTGATCAAGTAACATGAGTAACCAAGTTGGAGTTTGGCAAAAAATAAACTGGGTGACAAGTCTGATTAGCAAAAAAGGTGGCATCAAACAGACACTAATAATTATATGAAGGAGATTGCTGCATGCATGTGATGGGCTAGAGACTACCAACTTCCCGAAATGCATCACAAATGTGCAATCCGATTTAAACTTAAACTATAAGTTTTGCGCAGAGAGCAATTTTAGATGCATTTATATAATCCATGTGAGGGAGGAGAATTACAAAAAGCAGTACGTATATACGATAGTATCTTTCAGATATCACATGAATGATCATTACGCGAGACTCACAGCACGATAATGAAAGCAAGAGTTGTCAGCAACATGAAGTCCAGCCCACTCTTGAGACTTATTTAACTCACCAAGCAACTGGAGAAAAGAAAAAGTATGAAACCTTAGAACCTGAATAATGTTATTTGGTACACAATTACAACAATGTACTCATCTTTTCTCTTTCTTCAATTTTACTTGTTAATTTTTTAGGGGGATGTGGTTGGTGTGAAACCCTTAAAAAGTTAAAACGCGTTGAAACAGTAAGTATTTGGAATAATACCATGATTAAGAAGGGGAAATTTGAGTTTGCATCCCATTTTATTGTCTAAATTGGACTTTGCACCCCGTTTTTGCACCCCCAACCCCATATGAAAAGACAAAAATGCCCCCCATTAACAATTTTGTTGAGGGCATTTTTGTCTTTTCATATGGGGTTGGGGTGCAAAAACAAAGTTTTTTAAAAACAGGGTGCAAAGTCCTATTTGGACAATAAAATGGGGTGCAAACTCAAATTACTTGCCATAAAATGTGATTCCTGGATGTTAGAAATAACTAATGTTAGAAGAAGCTTTTCCTGGATGCCAAAATGTGATTCTTAAGGATTAAACATACTTTTTATTAGAAAGATAAGCGAGAGATTTGAGAGAAATGAGAATTGCATTATTGATATCAAGTGAATAGCTCCTTTTTACATGCCATAAAATTATTTTTGTAGTTGATTATTTCAGTTATTTTCTTTTCAGTCCTTTCTATCGTCTACTCAGACAGCTCCACTTCGGTCTTTCCACCTTTAGGTTGAGGGAGAGAGGCTAAGAAGATACGCGGTAATTGTGCAGGAATGAATAACAAAATTAATATTACAAGAACAAGAAACATGTTAATATTCATCTACTACTTTCCAAAAAGTAAATTGGAATTGTTGATAGAACAAAGTGTGATTTCAGGCACAGACGCATCAGCAAGTCACTTACTTGACCTACAGACATGTAGGCTACTAACCAGCAACGGTAATTCCATGCACGGTAATTCATTTTTGACCTCTGAAAATAGCATCCAGCCAAAGACAATAAGTGTTTATTAATATTTTACCAAGAAGTCCATAAAAATCCAAGTAATTATCCCAAGATGTGCATCAATCAGTCATACTAATAAATGCGTTTAACCCCCCCACCCACTTTATGTCCAATATAAAACCTCAGATAGTTTTTTCACAAACTCTGATTCTCTGTCCACTATCTCTTCAAGATTGGAATACTTTCCAGCAACCATCTTGATCACCCATCTCCTAACATTATTTAGCATTTATAAGAATCATATCATAATTTGAAAATGTAGAATATAAACAAAGCAGTTCCATATCTTGTAGCGAAAAAATCTCGCTACAAGATAGACATAAATAAAGAATAAGCAATTAACCACACTTAGATGGTTGGTGGATTGCTGCCTAGCCCGCCTAGTTAGGTTTCCTTCTTTTTGTTCATAATTGTGTTTTCTATTCTGATTTTTACTTATGCTCCTTAGAAGTTTTGTGATTTTTTGGTTATAAAATACCTCATATGTTTGAAAATAGTATGTTTATTCTAATAAAATAAAACAAAAAATAAAAGAAAACTATAAAAATATCACAAATTGTGTTTCTAAGGTTTCTTAGTCATTGTAATAACTTATATAGTTTCAAAAGTTATATTATTATTCTATATTTTGATTATTACTATTAGTAGTAGTTTCCCATCATAATAGGTAATTTCCCCAAAGAGAATATTTGCAATAGGTGTAGGGTTACTCTAACCACACCCATTACATGTCCCAACCATTCTCTTTTCAGTCTTCTTATTTTCATGTCCAAACCACACCCATTACATGGTACTCCCACCATCCCATTTTATATGCGTCTTTTGTCCCAAAAAAAGAAGTCCCAAAATTTTAGTCAAACTATCATAGAAGTTTTTAGAATATATGACTATATGTATCATTTGTCTTATAATGGTGTGCCTTATCAAAACAATAAATTATAATTTGGTCAAACAATACTCCTTTTTGAGGATGTAGGGACTATTGTTACTGTGAAAGATTAACAGAAATAGAATGATGTATGATCAAAATCTAAGGTTACCTATGACTCTATGCTCTTTCGCTTTTAGGTGAATATGAGAGGCTCCTTTTTGAGGATGTAGGGACTATTGTTACTGTGAAAGATTAACAGAAATAGAATGATGTATGATCAAAATCTAAGGTTACCTATGACTCCATGCTCTTTCGCTTTTAGGTGAATATGAGAGGACAAGATCTGACATATGCAGTTCTTCTATGAAAATTGAGTACTTGTAACGCCTTGAAACAAGTAGTTTCCTGCAAGTTAAGAACCCAATCTTTCTTTTATAGTGAGCAAACAAGAGGTGTTGAATGCCTTTACCTTCAACATTAAAACGACTATGGTAAATCATCAATTATATAAATCTCTGAAGACTTCAATATATTATCTGTCCTTGCAAACATAGCGTCCTTTCAATTTATGTCACTCTAATATTTATTTATTCATCTCTATAATTTACGCCATTTTCATTCAGTCCGTCTCCACTAACCTTTAAAAAAAATTACCAGGCTCAATTGCTCAAGGAGCTTCGATGTCAAGTCTCTTAGGATATGTTTGGAAGACCAACCTAACACTGAAGTCTATTGTTTAATTTAGAGACTATTTTCTGAAGCTGTATAGAAGTTGCTGACAGTGAAATGTTAGATTAATGAAGTAGACTTATTTGGCTAAGGGCTGAAATAACGACCGGAAAATTTAAAATTACCCTAAAAACGAATTTTTAATAGGAACTAGATAGAATTTGAATAACAAGAGGGTAAAGTTGACAAATCAGCTGATTAATTTTAGACCCAGTCAATTTCAGCTCTTTATTCAAACAAGGCTACATGTCAATTAATTATGTGCATAGATCAAATTTCAGCTCATTTTGACCTGAAATGATCATCCAAACATAGCATGTCACTTACATATCTGGATAGATCAAATTTCAGGTCATTTTGAGCTGAAACGATCATCCAAACACAGCCTTAAACTCATCAGTGACTATCACGGCTAAGCAAAACTCAACAATCCACTCTCAAATGACACTTCTCTAACTCTCTATGAAGAAATGTTTAGCATCTCTTAAAATGATGAGGAAAAGCCATGATTGAGTTTTAAGTTCTAAGACATGTCAAATTTTCCATAAGAGGTTGATCGAGACTACGAAGAAAATGATGTGAATAACAAAAGAAAATTACATGAATTTAAAAAAACATTATATAATGGTGGAAACATGTTTTAGGCATCAATCTGTAAAACTAAACTTTTCAATGTTTCAAGGAGAAAATGCAAACAGCAACAAAATAATGCTGATTTTTTATAAGGATAACCAATTGCGTATGAAGAACCAAACCTCAAATTCCATGCTGTGCCAAAATCACAGCTCAGGAGCAAAATTGCTCTGCTATGTTTCATCACTTCATTCTCAAGAACAGTAAGAGAAGATGATGAGGGGGACTTTGATGTATTGCCCTCATCAGATTCATCATTAGTTATACCATTTTGCATTTTATATTGTCTCAGTGAATCCATGAACGCATCTTTTGCAGCTTTGTACAGTGGAAGAAGAGCGGAGGTTGAGACCCCCAACTTATGTTTACAGCTCCAAAAAAATTCACTAGAAATGACAGTTTTGTCTGATGGTTGAAGCTCAGATTCATGAGACAAGGAAGTATTGCCATCGTCTTCATTCAGAGCATCAAATTGAGATGGATGAACAAATCCAATTTCATCACTGGATACATGATAAAATGAGAGAAGGTGATCAAGTTGAATGAAATGACAATACTTTCGTTAGAAAGCCTACTCGCCTAGGCAGCTAGGTTGAAGTACAGTCGTGGGGGTAAGGGGGGAATTATCATATTATGTTAAAAATGACTGTTTTCTGTTTTCCTGTATGATCAAAACATTAAGGTCCATTTTCGTAACAGTTATGTGGCTAAAATCGGCCGAGTTTGCTGAATTTCATCAAAGGTGAAGTGTTTGGTAACATACTAACATCTATTACCACGAAATAAGTCAAAAGCTAATGATTATACTGATACCACAATGATCGAAAACGGACTACGGACTACCCAAACGGAACCTTAAAGATCCAGATACAGTTCCCATGAGCAACAATAACAATAAGGAGGAAATTTCAGCACTGAAATTGTTATGAAGTTTAAGAAATTTACAAAGATGCAGTCTTGGCAGTAAATTCACATTAAATTAACTTTTAATCTATTTATGGTTCTACTAAATACGTAATGAGATATTGTAAGCAGTCGGATGCACAAGATTCAGCAAGTAGTCGCTCCTATTTATTAAGAAAAATTTATGTATGATTCTCAAATTTTACCAATTACTGATGTCACACATCGATACCATGGCTACAGTGTATTGCAAATTTTCATTATGTGCACCATATAAAGCAAATGAGAAAGAATATTAATGGTTTAATGATAACCCACCTATCCTTTAATAGCTTCAATCCTTGCATAAGAAGATAAAAACTCAGCAATGTGCAAAACATTTAATAGACCTTCAAAATAAAACCTACAAACTAGTTTCTAAACTTATTTAAAATTTTGAGCCATTCTTTTGAATAAAAATGAATCTACATCTGGACGAAAGAAAATTTCTTAAACCTTACATCAATGGATCTGACTCCAGTATATGCTCAAGTTGCTTCAATAACTTCCATGAATTTATTTCGCTCATTTTGATGAACGTGATGAGGAGCAGCGACACTAGAGAAGTGTTTGAGAGGTGAAGTTGAAGCCAGCTCTCAGATCAAGTCCATTGACGAATATTCCTATTTTCAAAAAGGAATGCATAAAATGAAAGAAAAATGAAAGAAGTGAAGTGACGGCTGTGAAGCTCACACGAACTGATGAAGTAGGCAATAAAAAACAATTCACACAAAGGATGCACACATAAAACTACTAGCCTTGTACGCCAGTTGGAAAAGGGAATAAGAAAATAGAGAATGAAATGAGAGAGAAAACTAGAATTGAGGAAAAAAAGAGGAATACAGAAGAGAGAAAATCCATAAAGAGTGGAGATAGAAAATGGAATCTTGCATTGATGAAGATACAGGGACCCATGTCTAAAAGAAAAAGAAAACAAATTTTAGGCTCTATTTGAAAACACAACTGGGAAGTGCTTTTAACTTTTTTAAATGATTTGGTAAAAAAGTGATTAATAGTAAAAGTTGATAGTGTTTGAGAAAAAAGTGATTTTGAAAAGTAAAAGTTGGTGTTGTTTGGTAAAATAAGTGCTTTTTGTGTAATAGAAAAAGTAAAAAACAGATTCTAACTTTTAGCTTTTAAGTAATTCATTTAAGTAGAAGTTGTCATTTGAAAACATCTTTTTTAGCTTTTTTAAGCCAAAAGCTGGGAAGTGCTTTTTTAATTGTGTTTGCAAACAGAGCCTTAATGTTGAGGTTTGGGGCAGTGGACTACTATGAAGTGACCTGGTTCGGCGATAGGAGCGGATATTTGAAGCTTCCATTTTAGCGCTCGGCAGCAGACCTAGGATTTCGCCGGGAAAATCTGATCGGACATGGATGAGCGGAGGCCGGACTTGGCTAAGCCGAGAGAAGGGATGTGGCCATGTGGGCGGGTGGAACCGTCGAGCAGAGAAAAAGAGAGAAGAAGAAAAGGAAAATGGACCTCCTTCGCGCTCCCCCAAACCTGCTCGCGCCTCTTTCTTTTCATTGCTGGAGAGATTTGTCCTCTTTTAAAATTGAACCAGTTGGATTTTAAAAAATTATTGTCTTATTTTACCTTTTCTGGAAGTCATTCTTATTTTAAAATTGCCGCATACCATATTTGATGAAATTTGTGTGGCTCTAAATCATTCTTACTTTATTCTTACTTTATCAATTAATATCAACCACACAAACCCTCTTTTCTTAATAATCGTCCCAATATAAAAGGGACGGAGGTAGTATTTCGTATTTTTTAAAAGTTGAATAAATATCTTATACCTGTAAATACTTGAACTTTTTCGGTCTCAAAGAAATGTGCTATTTTAAAGTATTTCTAAAATACAATTAATTATGATGAAAATAAACTTTGTAAAATATAGGAAAATTTTAAAAAATAGGACTAAAAACGTTTAAATTTCAAAATATGACTATCATGTTTTTAATCCATAAATAGGAGTAATTACTCCTTTTCGATTATTTGTAATGGAGCCAAAGACTCATTATTTTTTGGCTTGGGAATATGATGGAATGAAGCAAAATGTCTCTCTGCGCTTCTTTGTTATGAAGCATCAGTCAATTCATGCAATTCCCGACGCGATTTTCACTACGGGTCATCCGGAAACAGTCTCTTTGTACCTTAGTAGAAGAGTAAGACCGCGTACATCTAACCCCCCCCTTACCCTACCGAAGGTGGGAGCCTTTGCGGCACTGAGGTAATGATGATGAGGAGGAGGAGTAATAACAGTCAAGTTTGAAAACACTGTTATGTGTTATGTCTGAAGTCTAGTACTGCCAAAACATGATAGTAATTAGTCCTATTTAAGAAATATAAAAACATGAGAATTCTATTATGATATAGACAAAAATATTTACTCCTATTTAGATCAATTTTTCTACAATGTACAAAGCATATAATATTCTACGGTTAAACACTAAAACCTCCACAGGTGTGTGTCTGTGTTGTGTTCACATATGAACACATGGTATTTGCTTGTAGGATAGCTTGTGAAACAATTATTCAGTTATAATTTTTAGACTTTTAGCATGCATGTAAAGAGTTGATCAGAAAAATTGGTAAGAAATAAGAAATACTGCATCCACATAAAGACATGAGAAGTGGTGCGATTATTATCAAAAATGAATTTGTGTGGTTGATATTGAATTGATAAATAAAAACAATGTAAGAATAATTTAGAACCGCATGAATGCTATCAAATTTGGTAGACAATCTTATTGGGACGGATCGAAAAGGAAAGATGTTATCTTAGAGGGGCGGAAGAACTATTTGTTAAATAAAGTAATGACAATTTATATAACATTATTAGAACCAGGTTCACCCATATATTTAGAGGGAAAATAATTTAAATACCCCAAACTTTGAATATGTGTGATGTAAGGGAGTGTTTGGATTTGATTCTTAAAACTGCTTCTGCTCATTCAGAGAGCAGAAGCAGAAGTTGGAGTGTTTGGGTGAAAGTGCATAAGTGTTTATGGTGCTCTAATTTACTCCTAGATTTAGAAGCTGAGGGAGACCAGCTTCTAAAAACTGATTCTGATTCTGCTTCTGTTTTTTTAGCATAAACAGAATAAGTTCCAAACACCTTCTAGCTATCCCAAACTTGTATATGTAGTCTATATGCCCCAAGCTTTATATTAATTTCAATTTTTATCAAATACAAAGAGCTAGCCTAACAAAATTTCCATCAGGCCGATCTGATATGTATGCTACTCTCTCTATATACTTCCTATGTTCCTTAATTATCACAAGATTTCAAGTTTAGCACTATTCACGCACTTTACTTTGACTAAGATTTTTTCTAATATATTTAATCAAATCATTATGTATAAATATTATTAAATTTCTCTTAGTATGTACTTCTACAACATTGAATTTTATAATGTTTACTACTCCGTAAAATTCTCTTAGTATGTACTTCTAAAATATTAAATTTTAAAATGTTTATTAATGCATATTAAAAGTGAAGTTGTTGCAATTTAAAAAAACGTATGAATAATTTATACTCCGTATATAACATAATTTATTACACTTTTTAATGAAAGTGAAGTATTGAGGGTGAACTCTTTACCCTCAACAAAGACTCGAGAAATGGACTCTAATTGAAAAAGGAGCATCCTACTATTTTGTAGAGTTTTATTTTTATTAAGACCACCCTGCTCTCATGCAGCGTCCTAGTAAAAATAGGAGTTACCTACTAAACTAGTAGTGTCCTAATTTAGAAGCACCTTGTTAAATAACTACCACTTGCTAATAACAGTGTCCTAAGAATGTCCATTATATTTCTGAGCACCGAATCAAAAGGACTAAATCATCAACACAGGGGGGATGTTCAAAATGCTTCAAGAGGATACAATCATAATGGAAGATTGAGGATTCTTCAAATGAAGGATGATGATGAAAGAAAGCTTTAGCAAACTTCCAATCAAAAGATTCTGAGCTTCAAAGAATGGGTTGCTAAATGCTACAAAATATTTTCAAGAGTTTCTAGGGCTCATGAGCAACTAATCAACTCCAATTGGCAAAGTCCAGAAATCAGATGACTTGACTAACTCTGAGGATCGGGTGGGATTTGTTCAATAAAAACAAATCATTATGGCAGAGATTGGTCAACGTTCTGGATAACAGAAGGAGACCGTACGTTCAAATAGAAAGTTAATCGTATCAAGGAATCATGCTACAAGGTACCCCCGAAATTATAGAAAGAAGAAATGAAGAAGGATGATTTCAATAGGAAAGCAGCAAGCTGAAATTTTCAGCCAACTAGTTTCTCCAGTAAAATCAGTTGCTTGCTGAAAAACACCAACAAGCCAGCTCCTAGTTGTATTCAAAGTTGGGACAATTCATATGTTTCAATAAACAGGAAAATATTCAAAATTGAGCTGTCTGGATTATGGGAATATCTCTGGATATCAAATTCTTCAAATATTACAGATAATGCTCAAATTATAGATCAAAGGTGATCAAAATTTCCTGAACTATGGAATGTTTGTCCAAATTCAGCTATGCAGAAGGAAGTTATTTTGATTACATCAATTGCATACTGACATTCAGGTGGTAAATTAAGGACCCTGAGAGAAGATCAAATCAACAAGAGGAATTTCAAGCAACATGCGACAAGCAACAAGCAACGTTGATCCTTAATGATCAAACAACTGACTCACGATTCGAAACACTTATCTAAGCAAATTCAAACGAGTTTTTCTAACATTTTTTCACTTATCCATGTTGCTTTTTGCTTTGAAAAAGGAGCCAGCTGTAAAGACCATTAATGAAAAACTAAAAGACGCTTCAATTGCTTCAAAATGATTGAATGTGTTACAACGCATGCTTGCTATATACACATCTTCTTTACTCCACAAAAAAGTATCATTCTCAAAGCTCAGTACAGTATCTTCTTCTGAATTTTTTTAGAGAACATCATCTTCTTCAATGGAGCACCCCCATCCCGAAATATTTCCTTTGGGCTATCTCTGGCACCTCCGGAACCCAAAAAGGCAAAACCCGCCCGAACACAAGAAGAGAATCTTGTAACTTTTGAGGATAGGATTATTCTCCACAATGAAAAAGAAATTCTGATCAGAGAACATCACAAAGTGCTCAGGTGGAGAAACTGGAGATCGTCTTCACTCAACATTCTTCTCCAGACTGCAATTCACATGCAGCAAGAAGAATGATTTGCTCTGAGATGGTTAGGTACGGAAATCATTGAGCTCGCAATCTCAATGGAATACATCACAAGGATATGTCAGAGCAAATTGAAAGAAGTCAAGCAAATGAGAAGAGAAAGAGGAAGGCTACCCTGGAAGGTTATCTAAAGGAATCATCTCAACAAAGGCTAATCCGAACAAAGAAGAAAGTACATTTTGATTTTTGAGTGATACCAAAAAGGGGGAAAGAATTCTGGGCATCTCAAATGTAATTTCATGTCTCATTTTGTTTGTTTTGATTCTAGTTTTTTGGCATCATCAAAAAGGGGGAAATTGTTAGGCCCCTTAAATTTTGATGATTAATATGTAATTGTTTTGATAATGTCACCCTTCTTAGTATCCATGTATTAGACTAGTATCTCTTGTACTAGTTCTACTTCGTTAATTGTAATGTGCTACTATATTCAGTGATAAAGTACTCAAGAAAAACAAAGAGTACTGAAAAGAGAAGAAATGTACCAAAAACAAAAAGAAAAGAATAAAAAAAGAAAAAGTAGGAAAAAGAGTTAACTGGAATTCATTGAAAATGGCAGCCAACTGGAAAAACAAGAATTCAGCAACCTACTGAAACATAGCAGCCGGCTGAAATATTGGTTTTCCATTTAAGGCATCCGAAATCAACTAAACTCTCCTCTTAGCACAAAATCAATTAAACAAAGAACTAACTTGCAGTCAAAATAACAAATTGATAGAAAGGTAATTTTATAAAAGATTTTTATCACATTATAAATTTATTATAAAAATTATTTTACTAAAAGCAAGTAATTGTTATTTGTAAGGAAACATTGAACAAACACACAGCTTAAACACTAAGTCTCAACGGGCAAAAAAAATAAAAGATAAAACCATCTTTATCTTTGCCTTGAGATGAGGAATCAAGTTGTGCAAAGGATTGATCTGTGTCACAAGAAGACAAAGATCAAACCATGATTCCTTAGTCAAGTGGAACAAGCAAGTAGATCAAGCAACAGACAAGATTGAGCTCCTCAGCCAACGGTGGAGATTCAACAACCAGTCTATAAATACAGAAGGAGTGCGGGAAGAAACATGTGGAAGAGCCAAGTGGAATAGAATGGAATCAAGTTTTACAAGCACACATCCAATCAGCTGATTCCTCTTCACCACTTCGGTTCTCACCCCACTCATCTAATGCTCTTAGGAAAAGCTATAATTTATACAAACCTATAGAGTTTAGATCAGTTGGTAGTTTAGTTTTCATCCATGTAAACTAAACTAGTGTTAGACATTCTGGAGGGCTTTGTGTTCAAATAAAGAAGGTGAGAAGGGGGACATGAGTAGCTCTTGGCA